ATTTAGACCTATTGCAATAACATCACCCTTCCTCAAAACAATGGAAAAATTATTGATACTTCAACTTCAGCCTGCGATAAAAGAGCATATTGATCCATATCAGTTCGCTTACAGACGCAAAAGAAACACCTTATATTATGTTGCTGTTCTGCATCACAATATAGTGTCCAACTTAAAAAAAGGGTAAGAAGTATGTTCGATGTGCTTCTCTGAACTATACTTCAGCTTTTAGTTCTATACCAAGACAACGTTTACTTAACAAGTTAATCAGCGTCAACACTGACAGCTGGACAACCAACTGACTATGTTCCTTCTTCTCTGGAAGGGAACATTACACTGTGTTTAGAGGAAAGTGTTCAGAGTCTCTACTGTCTCATGAAAGTGTACCACAAGGAGCTGTTCCTTCACCACTTCTTTCCTCTTTTTTTCTGCATGATCTGCCATCTTACACAGAAAACACTTTTGTGAAGTATGCGGATGATCTCACTGTATGTGTGCCTATCTCTTCCTCTTTACATCCCATAGAAATGAATGAGTTTTTGTCTCGCATTGATTGTTTGTCTGTTGGTAATGGTCTCATACTTAATCCGTATAAATGCCAAGCTGTTGACTTTAGCATGAGACATATATGGAATCTAAACATCATTTTGAAATCCCATAATGCTTGAACCATCGGAGACTCTTTGATAAACACAGTGTCGAAGGTTAATTATCTTGGTGTCACCTTTTTCTCTGATCTGTTTCGGTCTTCCCACGTTTTATTGTTATCAAAGAAGGTTTTCTGTCTGACCTCTTACATAAAAAGATTGCATACTCTTGGAATTACTCGTCATTTACTCTTACAATTTGTCAATTTTTGCATAATACCTGTCATTCTTTACTGTTTTCAACTATTATTTTCCAGGCTTTTCAGGAAAGACTTTGCTGTATTGCGGAAAGTGCTGAAGGCAGTTGGAAAGATGTGTGGTGAATCTTTCGAGGTCATAATTATTATGGTTGTGGATAGACATTTAAAATCATGCAAACTCTTGGCAGATGTTATCTTATCAGATACTAGCCATCCCCTTCACACTCATCTTTCTCCTTGCATATCTTCTGGTAGAATGAGACGTAATTACATTAAAATTCATGCACGCAAGCAAAAGTATAAAAGTTCTTTAATACCTTACCTAGCAAATATACTCTGTGATGAACAGGTTGTTAGAGTTAACCTAGTCAATAACCTGGATTCTTAGCATGTCTCTAGTTTGAAAAGTTGTACAGTTTTTCGGTTGTTTTTTAAAAAAAACCTTTTTTACTTTTGTTATATCTTGAAAACTGATTTTTCTCGATATACCGCGTATAACAGAGCACTAGAAAACCAAAACCCTTCCAAGTCGCAATAAGAAGACAGAAGACTAATGAAAGGAATATTATTCCAAACAGTGTCAATCATAGTACAAATTTGTCAGGTATTTATAGTTTTTAGTGAGAACAAAATCATCATTACAGTCTTCCAGTCCGCATACAGGAGGTTATTAGCATTTTCCAATTAGGAAGCTACACGTTGGAATTCTAGAACATTCTTCCGAAAGGTGATTGGATGAGACGTCTTCGGCTCCTCCTGAGCCTCTTACAGCTTCCTCGAGTTCACCGATGATCCGTCTCACAACTTTTTTGTATTTGTTACTGTTTTTTGTTGCGTGAGTAACTTGTTGAAATACCCTGAGCTGAGAGTTTCATATTGCACCAAAATAATAATAATGATAATAACAGTGCTACACACCGTGTAAAGACTAGGCCCAACTCGTATTTCCGAGACTGGTTTGTCAGAAGCCAAGTTCGGCCAAAAATGAATTTGCACATGTGACAGACTGGGGAATATTCTGGACATCAAACAGCCCGTGGGCATCTACACTTTACATGCTCCCTAGAAAAAACAGCAATGACTGATATCTGACAGGAAACTATCGATAATTCAGTGGGGAGAGCAGTCCCAATTGCTATCTATTGCCTTATCTACGATCTGAGGGAAACCTTGAAAAGTACCAACGTCCTTCAAAAACCAACTTGGTTAAAGTGTATGATCGAATTCCTGTGGCTGCTGACGACATTCATATAATAAAATTCATCACTCCCTGAAGATCCTATGAATATTTGCATATCAGTTTCTGTTTGACAAGTACTGCACAAACTTGTAGTGAATGGCCTTATGTCAAGCACACATAGGTTATGCTAGCTTCTGGACACCTATTTATACATTCTTCTCAAGCTATATTTTGACTTTGTTACCACTTCGCTCATTAATCCTGACCATTTTTATATGATCATAAGTGCGTACATTGTTTAATCTATTCATAACATGTCAGTAACTTATTTTCGTTTGACCAAAAATATCTGTTCTTTCTTGGTTATGTAGAGTTGGCTTACTTACCTTCTCCACCGAATTATATTTTTTACACTTCTCCCTCTCCTCTTCTCTTTTTCCTTTTCAGTTCTTTGGTAGTTCATCTCGATCAACGATAGTATGATATATACGTATTCGGAATCCGTTTTCGTATTTGCCGTGTTTTTATTCCGTTATTCACTGACATGATTAAGGTCGAATATTATTTTCGAGGGTAGCCGTCTTGTGTGTTTGGATAGAAGTCACCATACGATATAACTAGAGTCATATAATGAGCCACCAACTCATTACTGATGTTTTCAGAGATCTGAAATATCGTTTACACTTATGTTTGTGGATAGTTGGTATTGAATCCCGTAGGAGAATCCTATTTATATCATCCGAACCTTGTTTCCCAACGACCTCATAATTCGCATAACTATCAGCGTTCAGGAATGTCGAGGCGCGACCGACTCCCTAGATTTTCTCGATTATATTACTAGTGTTCAGGGCATCCGCCTTCTGAAATGCAAAGTAGCGAACATTCCGGAATACCCGAAACCGACTTTTGTCAAGTAATTACTCATGTACAACGGGCTGGCAAGTTTTTACCAACGGTTCATACCGAATTGCACACCTATCATGAGATCCGTAACCGACCAACCTCGTGGAAATGCAGAATTCATCGGTTTGGACGTCAACGCAATAAAAGCACTCTTCATATATAATAAACTTATCGAAAAGGCGGTTATGCCAACACACACAAGTATACGGAAGCATCCATTAGTATCGCAGTAGACGTACCCGACTCGGAAATTGGAGTCTTACGACGATTGGTAAACAACACCTAACAACCTCCGGCATTCTTCTCGAGACGGTTTTAGGACATTTAATCGAGGTACGGCACGTTCGGTAGAGAACTCCAAGACATGTATTGTGTTGTACGGTACTCCTAACACTCTGTAGAAGGCCGAGAATTCACTCTCTGATTACCACGAACCTGTTACATTCTCTCCAAGCTCATCTTCAGATAATTACGCCCCTCGAGAGCCTCGAAAAATCGACTAAATTTCTCAGTTTACTTCAGATATACAGTGCATTTATTGAACAAACAATTTGGTTGTGGACTCTTTTCTCCGTATAAATTCCTCGAAGGGTTTCCAGAGTTGAGAGACTCCTATGTCCGCAAAGATCTTCAGCATGAGTTGTCATCGCCGACCCCTAGATTGAGAATCAAACAGATGGAAGTAGGTAAGGAAACTGTGATGCATCTACAGGTGGCGATCGTGTATTCATGCCGAAACATTTTCAACGCAGTGTTTTCAATACAATGTGTAAACTTCCTGATCGAGTTAATTGTCCTATCGTCAATCTCATAAGACAACAATTTTGCTTGTCTAATATGAATAAACATGAATTACATGACTACGAACAATCACCTACCACACACAGGCCAGCGGGTTGGTAGACAGCTTTCATTGACTGTTGAAAGCTTTTCACTCGGATGCAAATCTATCAAAATGCACTGACATACATCCGCTCGTGTTACTCGGAATTCGTAATCCAACAGTAGTTGACGTTGTATGCAGTGCAGCTAAACTCGTTTATGGCACGAAATTTGTGGAATTTGTGGATACTTCAATTTTTTTTCATGAAGGTAGATCTATTCTCCTGCAAACGCGATTCATCCAAGTAAATCACTTCTACTCGAATGTCGTTAATTGTTTTCGTCCAACCCGCCTTACTATTTTGTGCGCACGAAGTATCTTGACAGTTTTTTAGAGTACAAACCTATGTATTATATAACTGATAGGATCGGAACTTAAGATGAAATAAGCACCAATCGCCTAGAATCTAGTTACTTAGGAGGACTTCTCTCGAAAGATACAAAAATACTACGACTACAATGCAGTCCCCGGGAGTTATTAACCTCGCCGAAACAGCACAGGTATCTGAATACCAGCCTACAACGTTTCACACCCGAAGGTCTGAGAGGTTCTCAGAGAACTTGGATGACAATCATATGTTAGACATGTTAGACATTATTATCTACTCTCCCGTGTTGCATTGCCAATTTTTATTGCGTGAAAAAATAAAAAACAACTCACTTAAATGTAATTCTGAACAGATTTTGTCGAAAAGTCAAATCAAAGTATTTTCAATATGCCCATATATGTGTGTTTATATTATTTTTTATAAAATATCCGAAAGAGGCCTTTTGTGTCAGTTTTCTCACGGCCTCACGATATACATCAACGTATAAATTTATTTTCTTTGTCACAGTAGACCTAGAAAATGATCTTACTGAATGTGTATTTTTAACAGATAAACATACAGATGCTGATAATTGTGTTCATTGGTTATCTTGGTGAGGATGATACAGGTATTCAGTAATTGACAACAATTTCAAAAACATGCGCTTTAATGTGGTTAAATAATAAAATTGATATAGTTTCATCAAAGGATAGCATAATATTTGATGTATCTTAGACCAATATTTTTTTACTGTGTTTAGTTAAATAGTATTTCGAAAAGTCTTCACATCAGGAAAAGCGCGGTCTGGTCTTCTGTCACGCTCAGTTGTTTGTTATGAGGTCCGTTGTTTACATGTTATTTCCTTTGTAAAACATTGGCTTTTAGCTGGTGTACTGATAAATTTTTTCAACTTAGTTAAGGATTTTTGGATCACAGCCGTCGTTTAAATTCCCAAGTAGGATGTTAGAAAAATTTGGATTACTAGAACCATTTAGGAAGTGCATTATCAACAACAATACACATTATCAGTTCTCGAGACCTAATTTGAATGTATGACCTAAGTATAACAATCTCATTTAGGGTTTTCTTAGCATGAATTATCTGCACTCCAAGATTAAATGAGAGCGAGACGATCCATCGCTATTGTGAACTGAAAACTGACTCAAACGTCTACCACTGTCTTAAGTCACATACCTCTTGCTTGTGTTATATCATGTCAACAGAGTCCGCTTTAGTTATATCACACATATTCTTAATGTGATGAGGTTTCTGTTGATTGTTTCCTTGTGTAATGATAGTGTATGATGTAACAATGGGTTTCACTATCAATTGCATGTTTGTAGTGACGCAGACCCAACAATCTTATAAACCCGAATAAACTCAAACTGACTTTTGAAGATGTAAAAGGTGCGAAGGATTCGTAACGAATATGTAGTTCCCTATAATTTATCTATTTAGCGTTTCTAGGTATGACGTTCAGGTACTGACGATAAATAATCTCAACATTTTCGAAACTACGTTTCGCACTAAATAAAGTCGGCCCTTACTATTCTCGCTCCAAGTACTTCGGTTCGCGCAGCCAGGTAGTATAGTTAGTTATTACTTATTGTATATGTGAAAGTTTACTCATTTATTCCATATTTCAACCACTTGTAAGTTTCCCAATTCGGCATACATCAGTTTTGGTGACCAGGAAATACACGTGACTCTTAAAGTTTGGTGCAACTCAAAGTACGCGAACATGTACGAGATTTCCCAGTCGCATTAATTCAAACGTCCCACTACTCAAATTCTTCGTTAGATTCGAGTCGCGAGTATTAACCTTGTTATCTTATCAAACAGCTGTTGTACTTATACACGTACATTTTACGCTTCACTGCTTTTTAACAAGTTCATACATTCCTTTAGACAAGTTTCTTTAACTTGTTTTCTTATTCTCGATATATTCCCATCATTCTCTAAGCCAGTTTTCTGACTGGACATTTACCGTGAAATCTAATTCATGTGTGTAATTACCCTCAGTCGTTTGGTAATTATTTGTTTTTAGAGGCTTTTACATTGGAACTAAAAAACAGTTTAGAATACTCGCCTTTTAAATCTTTAATAGGTTGGTGGATCGACTTAAGCATACTTCCATTTGCTAGACATATATTCGTGTACTTGGCTTCAACCAGTTTGAGTGCTCGTGATACTACCAGTCTACTTAGATGAAGTAGGTTGAGCAGGTTTCAAACCTTGATCTTGTTGAGTGAAGTCTAGAGGCCTTGAACACTTCCACTAAATATGCACTCACAAGACGTCCACTGAACTTTATTGTAATAACACTCAGAATACCTAAACTGTGATGTACTAATTGATCATTATCTTTGCCATTGATGAGTTCATTTGTTTCAGTGAATAGAGTTATTTGTATTCAGAACAACGTAAATAAGAGACGTACAAGCATTTGACGCAAAATCTAGAACGAATTACATGTTAAAGATTGTCAATCGCTGGGAGTTTAGAGAAATATATAATTTTTCGGGTTATACGATAGTTTATATTGTGTTAAGTGAAAAAACGATTATCAACATTTACCTTCTCAGTTTTTTTCTGTATTTATATTTCACTAATATATTAATTCCGGCAAATGTTCCAGTAATTTTGTAGAAGATTCTGAAATCGAGACTAATTATACTGAAGTAGTCGATGGCTTCGAGAAGTTGGAGTTGAAACCAGAACTTCTTCGTGGTATATATGGTTATGGTTATGAAAAGCCATCGGCCATTCAACAGCGAGCTATTAAGCCATCTATCGAGGGTCGTGATGTTATCGCTCAAGCTCAGTCCGGTACAGGGAAAACGGCAACATTTGCCATCAGCATTTTACAAAGGATAGATATTTCATCAAACACTTGTCAAGCCCTTGTCCTCGTACCAACCAGGGAACTTGCAAGACAAATCCAAACGGTAATTAGTGTATCAATAATAAAAATTTTCAGGTTATGCAACGCATTGGTTCCTATCTAACCGTCAAATGCCATACGTGTATCGGGGGGACAAGGACCTCTCATGATATGGCGTGCCTCCAACAGGGTCAGCATGTTGTTGTGGGTACTCCTGGTCGTGTTTTTGATATGATGAATCGTAATACTCTGGCAACCGCTAATATCAAGGTTTTCGTGTTGGACGAAGCTGATCAAATGCTTGATCGTGGTTTTGAACCCCAAATTAAAGAAATATATAGATTTTTACCTGATACTTCTCAAGTAATTACACTTCTGTATGATTTCATTTAACACTAGATCATGTTACTGTCTGCGACTATGCCGAAACCAATGCTTTCTATTGCACGGAGTATAATGCATGATCCTGTTCAAATACTGGTTAAGAAAGAAGAATTATCATTGGATGGGATCAAACAGTTTTATATCAATGTGTGCAGAGAAGAATACAAATTAGAGACCTTAATGGACCTATATGGAATAATGAATTTAAGTCAAGTCGTTATTTTCGTTAACTCTGTAAACAAGTCCACACATATTTGTAATGAGCTTAGGCTCAAAAAGTTCCAAGTTTCGTGCATTGTAATTTGCTATATTGAACCTACTAAATATTCTATTCTTTAGCATAGTGATATGGATCAAGAAAAACGTGATGCAGTTATGGAGGAATTCCGTAGTGGAAGATCACGAATTTTGCTATCCACTGATATTCTGGCGCGTGGTATTGATGTACAGCAAGTCTCTCTAGTCGTTAACTATGACTTACCTAGTAATCGTGAGACATATATTCACAGGTCTGTTCCTATTATATGATATAATTTTCACTTATACAGAATCGGGAGAGGAGGTCGTTTTGGAAGAAAAGGTACAGCCATCAACTTCATCACTGATTCAGAAGTAGAAGCTTTGAGTGACTTGCAGCAATATTTCAACACAGAAATTATTGAGATGCCTGATGACATTGTTGATTTTCTGTAACCTAAATTTGAGCCCACTTATACATTTAATATTTGTTCCTAGCTGAGTAACTTTCAGTCTTTATTGTTGGTTATCTGGTCACTAATTTTCGAGTTTTATTTTTCCATCTAACACCGCCCTTGTCATCACATTTTTGGGTGTTACTACTTCTGGTTCTTCAATTTGTTCACTGCGGTGCTTAATTGGGAAATAAATTAGAATTTGCGCATTTTGAACCTCAGTCGTTTGATTTCATGTTATGTAATGAAGGTTATACACTTGCTATTATGTTGAAAGGTTTGTCTTCAGTTCTCAGTTAAAGGTAATAGTAGTACTGAATATTGATGACTAAAATAAAAAACCTGGCTCTAACTGTTTTGCACCGGGCTTCTATTCCAGAGGTTACAGGTTCGTGCCCTGTTCGGGACGCACACCATTTACCTCCAAATGCCATGGTAAGGTCGAGGGTGGGGACGGTCCGTTCCCCTCTCGAAATGCTCTTACATAGCCATGTATATACGACAAGTGTCAAAATCTCTACTCACTGCCTTTTCTCGGCGGGGTTGTTGTCTACGAAATTAAGAGGACGAAAACGAATGTCCGACGCTTTAACTGGGTTGGTGGATATGGAGGACCCACCTAGGGGAGTTGGAAAACCTTGATTCCAAATCAAAGATGCACATGGTTTCCAGGATCCTGATAGAAAAATTGACGTATGAACAAGTTCTTGGTCACCGGTTACCATGGGACTGCACCTCCTCAAGTTGCTCTACTGTCTTGTGGATTAAGCCTGGGCCAAAGGCTCGGAGAGTGGTTTTCTAAGGAAACAACCTGCTTCGGTTTTGACGCCCAGTCCTCACACGAATCGAATGATTTGTGGGGCGCGTCTGTATTTAGTGATTATTTGTATCAATGTTTATGTGTTTCAATAAGAAATGTTCATATAATTCGACAAAGTTTGATAACCGACACGTTTCGTTTACAAACGTTTTACCTAGTGTGGTTTAAAATTGTGGTATTTCGTGAAGACTGAATGATAAGTGCGCTAACGTTTCTCCAAGTAGGCCCACAAATATGCTTTTAATAAAGCTTGTTTTTATTTTTGTTTCACAACAAAATCTACGTTGACGTAGATACATCAACTTATGTTTGTCCTTATATAGTAATGCTCAAGGAGGTAAACTAAGCGATAGGGAAAGACACCTAGGTGGATCTTATGGTGTCGTGGCTCAAAGAACAGATAGTGGCGACCGTCTGTTGCAGCTATGCTCAGATAATCGCCTGTTCCTTGCAAATACTAACTTTAAGCATAAGGAGAAACATCTTTTAACATGGCGGCCCCTAATTCGTCCCAACGTTGGGCCCAAATAGATCACATCGCTATCAGCCACCGATGGAGGGGCTCGATAGAAGACTGTCGCTCATTCTGGAGCACATAATTAGATTCAGATCATGCTCTAGTGCGAGCGCGTATTTGCTTGCGGCTTACTGGACGTAGGGAAGACGCTGCAAGTAAACCTCTTAGGGCCCTACTTAATGATAGTCAAGCTAAGAGTCTATTTCAGGAACAACTAGGAAAACAGTTAGGCAGCCATGTATGTGATGCCCACCCCGATGCAGCATGGAATGATATCCGAAAAGCTGTGGAAACAGCAGTGATATCTGCTAGTAAGGTAAACCAGAAGGTTAGGGAGCAACACTGGATCTCAGCAGCATCTATCGTACTGATCTAGCCTACTTGTGCAATCTTTCTCTTATATATTACCACCTCTGAATTAACTACTTTTATGAATCAGGTGTCCATCTTTTGTTAGTGAGGTATGGCAACTTGGACCGGTGCATATATATGCCTGGTGCTACGTTGTAGCTGGCTGACTTGTGTATAAAACACGTAGCGGAGGCTGATATTTGTGTTACGGACTGGAAAGGCCATACTAGGCAATAAGTTACTATTATAAGACCAATAAGTATTCAAAGTTAACTCAAGGCTGCCAGTGGTAGTTGACATGTCATCAGTTTAGCACAAACTCAGGGTCATAAAATCCGGTATTCTGATTATTGATCCTGTCACGCGATATTTGAAGGACCAGAGGACAACAATATACTATGGATGTACATGAATCTTTACTGGTTAAAATGCTATTTAGATAAAACTTATATACTAGCTGTAGGTGTATAAGGAACGAGTCTATCAGATCACAACGATGTGGACTTTAGAGCGGCTTTCGTGAATCTACGTTACAGAATTCCTAATGCATGAATACTATTAGCTGTCTCAAACGCTACCAGTCGAGCTAGAGCTCATGGCGAACTATCGTCTGATTTTTCAACCTAGTGTTGTCCGGCGACGTTGTACACTATCTCCATTTTTGTTCATTTTCACCATAGACTTACTCATGGAAATAACGCTCTTGTCGACTGAGTTCTCGGGCATTGATCTCCTACCAGGAGGTCCACTTATCGACTTAGCATACACAGATGATATAGTCCTGTTTGTTGAAGACGCTTGATAAAATTCAGTATTTTGGTAGCAATGAGCAACAATGCTAGAATGTTTGGGATGCGCTTTTCCTCCTCTAAATGCAAGTTATTTTCTCAGGACTGACCTGCGTCAACACATGAATTAAGGACAGGCAGTGGAGTAGTCGGAAGCGTCGACAATTTCACTTATCTTGGAAGCCTGATCAACCCTAATGGATTGGTGTCTGACAAAATCTGCATGCGAATTCGAAAAGCTCGTTTGGCTTTTGTTAACTTACGTCACCTATAGCGAAGGCGAGATACCCGTCTATCAATTAAGGGAAAATATACTGTGCGACAGTCCATTCTTTTCTACTGTGCGGTAGAAAAATGGCCATCAATAGTAGAAGATATTCGTGGGTTTCTAGTATTCGACCTCAGATGCCTTAGAAATATTGCTCACATCTTCTGGGATCACCGCGTAAGTAATAGTGATGTTAGACATAGGGTATTAGGGAATGATGGTAAATTGGTTGATGAGGTTATGAATCTACATCGACTGAGAGAGTTGGGCCACGTGTTGCGTATGCCTAAACACCGATTACCACGATGCGCAATGTTGACTAGTGTTGGGGGTGATTGGAAGAAAGGGGTGGCCAAACCAAAACTTGTCATCGCTGCTTAAAGTCACTAACTTCCAGTCGTAGTCATGTTGTTAGATGCGGACTACTTGGCTGGGGTCCGCACATAACCAATGGTTGGATACTCTGACGGCTAGGAATCGGTCACAATGGCATAGTTGTATATACTCTTTGTCTTCCCTGAGAATAAATACTTAATACTTTTTTTTCTATGAACTAATTCTTTCTTCCTTCATCATATCTGTGTATGAAATGTTTTGATGTATGAATTTGGTGTTGGTCATCTTATCGTTCTGTTGAGTTAATGGCAACTTGGACCGATACGTATGTGTGCCTTGTCCCGCGTTGTAGCTGACTAATAGCTGTTGACATTGTCAAAATAAAATCACCTATTGTTATTCGACCGTTAATGCCAACGATGTTCAAATCCTCTATAAAAATAAAATAAAATCCTTTGAAGCCTTATCTGTATCCGTTGTTAGTCACTGGCTGTTAGGTTCCTTGTAGACTGTTTATTTTTTTTTAGAAGGTTTCACTTGAATTATTGGAAGTTTCGGTATCAATTGCACTTTCACAGTCACTAATTCCGTCCCCAGCAAGCATTGGTTCTTTTTTGTTAAGCACCAAACTACTTAAATGTTCGTTTTTAATGTAATAGGGCTCACTAAAGCAAGAATAGCGACTACTCATCAATGAACAGCATAGGATCTAGCAAATTCGCATAAGCCCAAGTCACCATATCACACTTTGAACACGTTAATTTAGTGTAGCTTTATTATCTCAATCAGCAAGTTTCAAGTGGGCTTTTTTCCAGGGAGTTGAAGTAAAAACGCAACATCCATCATAAACTTAGCATAATGCAACTCATCACGGTGACCGTGCTGCATCAGTTTCGTGCCAAAATAAATTTTAAAACAAGTCCACGAAAAGTTAGTAGTATCAAATCACTTTGCAAATCCAAACATCTGTTTTGAAGGACTATCCACTGTGGTACTTTCGGTACCGGTAATGCAAGAACGTATTATTTACATTAATGTTGAGAGAGATCCTGTTTTGTTGTAATGGATACTTAAGACAGTATTACTGTGTTGGGGCCAAGTACAATTCCTATAGTATACACTAGTGACCTGGAGATGTTTGCCAATGTACATACTGTACTACTTAAAAGATATGATTTTTCCTGCCTCTCTGCTATACCGTTGTAAAGCTTAACCGGTAGACAATACTCAAATGGATTGATGTATCTGATGTAACCCCATGTTATGGCATGGTCGGTTGATTGCTTTTTCAACCTTTTCCGATCCATCGATCGTACAATATTTGGAAGTAGTATCTCCGTTCTTCAATCACTTAAGGTTTGAAATGTCGTCCGCTGATCTACTCCATTCTAAACATCACTTGCGTTTACAATAATACTACACATGGTTTGCTTAACTATGGAAACGCTCCCAAGGTAAATATGGTCGAGTAATTGTAGATTCAATGTGGTACCCGTCTGTATTTGCTGTAGTACGTTGTTGACAATAAAATGCATTAGTTGTTGATGTGTGGTTAGTTTAATATTTGGCAAGCAAGGAATATGCTAGACAATTTCAGACGTTCGCTTTCCCAGAAATCTACTGGTGCAAAATCAGACTCAGTTTCTTTTCAAACTAATGATAATGAGTTGTAGTGATAACTTGGGTCATGGCACACTACTACACACCATTCACAAAGTGAATTCACGTAAAAATGTAGATTGTATTTAAAAATACAAGTAATCCACATACTCTATAAAAACATTAGCATGTTAGTTATGAACAAATGACAATCAATACACTATATCAACTATTCTTATTCATCCAATTTGTTATCACGCATTATAGGATACGGTCAGGCAAAATATTCAGATTTATTTTGGTTCCTTATACTGTTCTGTGTTTATCCATTGTAATTTCAACTGTTTACTTGTGAGATCTAATTTGCAAATAATTTTCATTGTTTGGAAGTGTAGATGGATTTTATTAAATCGATAAATTTTCAATGTTATAATATCATTTAATTTTATTGATATTGGTTGAAAAGGTGGTGCATGCACATGTTTTTCTCCAGACCATTTCCATATCCTTGTGTATCTATCCAAAAGTTGTTTGAAATAGACACCTTCGTTATGATTATACTGTAATCTAAAAGAAATAAATTCCTTTGTGTTAGTTACTGTCATGGTTTAACACTTCATGTATAAGTTATCATGGTCTATATACTTGAAAATAAAAATAGTTGACTAGTGGCTAAAACCCTCACATATTATCTAAGCAGGTAGTTAGTTCAGTTTGGCCAGCTGGGTAGTATCACTAATAAATAAAAGCTGATTTCATGATACTGTATTTGGTAAATGCGTTAGAACAAACTGGTTAATAATTTCTAATCTCTGCGTTGCTTCAAACGGTAATAAACAAAGTCAATGTGCCAAACTTTCAGGTTTTTTCAAAAACACAAATGAGGTCCGATTTTAGTTTGAATGTACTAAATTTACAACATGTTAATTAAGCTTCAACTGACTCATGATTTCAATCTGTGAAATTAAGCTGTTTGTCAATTTTATAGTCTGAATTGTGTACTTATCCGTTGATAAAGATCTCATTTATATGCTATATTAAATGAACAACTAATAACGTCAAATATATTAAATGGATAACTGATTTGGATGCGTGAGTTAAAATTATGTCTCAAATAAAATTCTTTCTTCAATCCATTCACTTGTTACTACTTGCTATCAAAATTTTTAATGGTTTCCGTTAATAGGGAAAATTATGTCGAACAATAAGTTTATAAAAACTCACTGGTTGTTTCAAGAACTTTATTGTTCATTGACTAATAACTCAATTGAACTATGTGGAGATATATATTTGTCTTAATAGTTCGATATTCAAAATCATCATTGGTTATTCATTGCGTTTTAGGGATCAGTCTCGTGAAGTAGTATTCTTCATTAATAGATTCAGAAATACTTTTTCATATGGTGACAGTCTTAGTTATAGAGAAATATCGATTGTGGTTGGTTTCTGTTCCATGTGTAGTGTTTTTTTTTAATTGATCTGCCTATTTGTACTACCCAGTGTACGGTTCGATTAGCTATTGTTTTGCTGAAATTGGTTTCCCTAATGGTTCAGTTCGTTACGTGTATTCAAAATGTCTTACTTAATTTCTGAGAATTTTCTGTTGTCACAATGATATATCATTATTAGACCAATGTTGATCAAAATACACCGCATGGGGATATCTCGGCCTAACACTGTATTCCGTCTAGGTTGTCAAACCATTTAGATATCTGCATAACAGTGGTCGAAAGTTCAAAATTACTTTAGGGGAATATGACACTAAATGATATTGAAAAGCGAATTCAGTCTATTGTTACTACAACCGGAAAAACGTAACCATGTTCATTTTTCTATATCAAATACAAATAGTTTCGCCAGTATCTGTATAGGAATAAAATTGCTATATTTAAGCACCAAAGAATGAATTTTCAAAGCGTTTGAGTCGTAAGAACATTCACCAAAATTTAGACGAATAGTTCGAAATTTGAAGTTGTATTTGAATAATTTCAGCAACTGGAATTTAAATGAAATATCCCAAAAACTACAAAAGGAGCAACCGTAATAAGATAAGTTAATGTTTATGAGATAATTATTGGCAGGAACTAAACTTTATCATATTAATTTGAATTAAACAATAACTACCGTATATTGTTTTCCTTGTCATAAACTACCCCATGTATATTGCTATCGAACACACCGATTAATCTGCCAACAGTTGATTGTACATCGACATTGATCAATTTATTCATTTTACTGGTATTATTATTTAACACTTTAAAAGAATTAGACTTTTGTTTACGATTTATTTTTGTATCTTCTTTTCGAACTTTTGTCATATTCAAATGTAATAGATCATGTACAATGAATAGTAGACCAACTGGTTCATTATTATTAGTGTTCATTTCGCTAGGTAGAAACAATATTGCTGGATTACCAGTTGGATAACTGGACGTTGTGAATATTTGTTAAGGAGTTTTGTATTATTTTATACCACAGAACAACAAAATTGAGATTTTTATGAGGTTGTTCGACCTAAGGTACGATTGATTATGGAATAATATTCATAATTAGTTTCATAAACAATAACTTCTTGGAAAATGACTTACTAGGTGAGAGCTTTATGATGTTAACAGACTTCTATAAGATGTATTGAGTAGAATATTTAATAAAGATTATATAAATTTACAGCTTTTATTCTGTCACTTTACTTAAAATTAGAAGTTGCCAATAAAAGATATTGATAATCAAAAATGACAGTGAGTGATATTTGATTTCGTCTGGGCAGAATGTAGACGTTGCCTTGTTATTATTTATAGGGGTCAAACAAAATCGAGACCTGTGCACATACCTAGCTCTTGACTGTATTTTAGTCCCAATTACTCGGTTAACACAGAGAAAAGCACTTCTCATTTTATTTATGATAAATGACATTATAATCATGTAAGAAATATACTTTGAATATGTGAGCTGTTGTTTTGTAGTTGATATCATCTAAAGAAACCATGTAAACCCAAGAGCCATTGAATCCATATTTCTCTGTTGTATAGGACTAACTAGCGGCGCGCATCCATGATCCCCTCAAAAACTGAACACAGGAACTCCAAGTCTCGTGATGAGTGCCTAACCTTCACATATCTGAGTTGGAATCCGATAGCTCGGATCATTAGATAACCATTGAAAACCTGAAAGCGCCTAATGACCGTTTCGTCCTACTATGGGACTTCTTCGGCAGTGAAGACCAGACATTACGCATGCAGAACGTTTAGCACATAAACCACTGAGCTGAGACCAGTGGTGTACAAGTTTAAGTCCAAAAGGTCGACGGTATTGCCCTGCCGCCTCTCATTCACAGAAACAAATGCAGATGAAGACAGTCAGTGTAGCACCAACCTCTGTAGCAGTAGGTTCCAAAATTCATAAGGGAAAACCAAGATCCTAAAATACAACAGTGAGTACAGACCTAATCACACTTGATGGAGGAACTCAGAAGAGGTGAGAACTTTTATGTATCTAGTTAGCATCATCGATGAACAAGGAGGATATGATGCAGGCGTAAAAGTAAGGATTGATAAAGCGAGAGCGTCATTCTCACAATTGAAGAACATACGGAACTCAAAACAGATGTCGGCCAACTACTACAACCATCATCAAAAAGTACAAATAGTTTCAAACAATTGTCTACGCAAGATACTGAATGTCAGTTAACCGGGTACCATCAGCAACAACTAACCAACTTTCAACTGAAGAGGAAATTGGGAAGAGATGCTCGAGGTGTACAGGAAATACATTGCGGAAATCACTCAGTTGTATCAAGCGCTAACTTGAAATCCCGAAGGTAAAAACAAAAGAGGAGGACTCGATAACACATTGCATAAGGAATGGGAGAGAGACATCAAAAGAATAAAAAGCACTTGGGAACAACTTGCAATGAGCGCACACGGTAGTGTAGGTTGGGGGTTGTTAGTCAGTGACCGATGCTCATCGAGGGTTAACAGGTTTAAGTAAACAATCATCTTCCATTGTCTTTGGTTAGTATATTCCTGTTACCCGACAAAGTTTAGTACAACTGCTCATAGCTTCTCATTGGAAATCCGAAAACTTCTTAGCAGAATTCTAAGACAGTCTACACGAAAGGCGGATTTTAACTAGCCAACCATTAAAATCCAGGTAGCGTTGAAGAATTCTTTCGTTCGAAAATGGGACTCTCCAGTATTCGGCACTTGAAAACAACCGAAACTACTACCTAGAGACTTAGAGCAATGAAAGGGGTACCTTTAAATCGCTAAGTTGGCTTCCTCATCAGGACGTAAAATATCTAATGAATAAAACGCTATATCAAGAAAATCCACACAATATTCACATTTAATGAGAATGATCAGTTAAAATCAGCCCCAATATTAACCATAAGATGATTCAAATTTTTAAAACTAATTATATAAACACATTCAATGAACAACTCAATAACAATCTGGTGTCGGCAGCTTAACGGATAACAAAGCGTTTGAAGTGAAGAAAACTGGGTTTTTGTCTCAATGTGAACATCAACACTGGAACGTAGCTACATCCAGCTAACGTTCCCCAAATATTGGTTAGACGATCGCTGCGAGTCCTGAGCTCGGTACCTCGTAAGGTTTTTGTGCATGGTAATGAGGAGTCTCATAAGGAAGTAAAACATCAGTTCAATACTCTTTGTTTTTCAATAGCAAACCAACCAACAATCTGTGATGTATACGACGTCCAGATAAAAACAATCTCCAGAAAACGCCTTAAATTAAACCAATCACTTACACTTAATTATGCTTTGAGTTACTAACCGGTGACAAAATTTAGCGAAAATATTAAGATAATATACTGTTAATTTATATGCTGCTATTTATACTTGTCTTAATTCAGCTATTTATTTATTCTGAAGTAGTGGCTTATATTAAGTCACGAAACGTCAGAAATACAATCTCTCTAATCATTTTGATAAGAGAAAAAATATATTCATTATAAGGTTTACATTCGATTGATAAGTCAATATTCTAGTTCAGAACCATCACGAGGATCTAATTGAAAAGAAATTTTCCTTTGCTTAATTTGTAGTTTTAATATACTAATTGAAACACTTGATACATCAATATACTTTGCTTAGTTACTATTAATGAATAATAACTATCTTAGTATCAGAGTTATACATTATTTCTTAGCGATATATTAATATTTATTTCACTGTAGTCAAAGATATAATGTAAAAATCGTGTTATGAGCTAGTCTACAATCATTCAATTTATTCTCTATTGACATTTTCAAAATTTTAAAATTCTACTAAGCTCATTCATTTCCAAGAAAATTTGAGCTTATTTCGATTTGGAGATTAATTCTTGGATGATTTCTATAATAGATCATTATATAATTATGTAATCAATAGTAACTTTCTTGCTGATGGATTCTTGAGACTTCATAGAAAACAACTTTTAATACATTTTGGTCTCATAAATACTAGAATGTCATAATAATTAAAAATGTCATAAAGTTTATATTCACTTCTAAATAATTCTTTTTTTTCCTAGTCTTTGTGCCAACAGAGTTTTTCAAATAAATAGAATCTTTTTGTATGAAACAACACTCAGGTGAATTGTAGATATATAAACTTGTCAGTACATTCAAACTCATTGAATATCATTCTAATACTGATTTGTTGCTTGTAAATCTGCAAAGTAGAGTAAGTTCGTGATTGAAATACTTGGTTGTAAGGCTGAAAACATGAACTATCTCCCTCTCACTATCTACTTAATTGTAGTAAACAACCAAATTGTTTTACCAGATTTAACAAAAAGTTATTCACCAATGTCGATTACATGAGTATGTATTTGATTATTGAAGCCTTAAGTCATTTATGTCTTCAATATTCATTAAGTGTGCTGTATCCAGTAATTTTGCTTATTTTTCCTATCAATTAGTAGCTGTGTGCTGCATATTGCAATGTAAATTTCACTAAAGTTTTTATTGTAATCATCTCAAGTTGTCAGCATTTGTGTGTTACGGAAATATCAGCGTAGCGCACCTTAATATCCGGGATGAAAAACCAATATTGTCGAAATCAGGGTTTAAAATATAATCTGTAAACTAAACGAGTATACATCACACCCTCAAAGTTTATGGATACAACATACAGTTATCGAACATCGATAATGTTGAGGATAACCTTAATTATTATGTAATGCTGTATTCTATGTCTTCAATAGTTACAAGATGCGATGTCTTTGTTCTCAATTTAATGAAAACTAATGCAACTGCTTAAGAAGCTTGTGACATAAGGCAATATCGAGGCAATCCGCACAGGATGCACATATGCCAACATGAGACTGATCAGTTTCAGTCCTTAATAACAATGGGAAGATACAAGTAAAACAACACCAAGTGAATTTAAACTTCACCCCATTGCACAAGCAAATAGCTATCAGGACTCAGTAGCTAAGTGGATAACGTGATAGCGTTTGAAGCGAACAGTACTGGGTTCGAGTCCCAAAGTGAACATCACCTCCGCAACGCAGGTACATCCAGCTGAGGAGTCTCAGATAGAACGAAACGCACGTCCTGGACCCCACTGCTAGCGACTATCCATCTTTGTTTAATAAATGCTTATTATTTGTTGGGAAATACTAATTTTTCTCCCTAAAAAGCATGAAAAAATAGACAGAGAGTACTTAACTTAATTTTAGCTAGTTAGTACTTCTGGTAATTTATCGTAAATTCTAAAAGCACATATGTATTTATATTTCTTTTTTTAATAGTCAAACACTTAAATTTGGGGAGTTTTAAAATGTTACTCATAACTCTCGATATAATCGTTGATATCAATAACCAAATTCTAACCATCGTGTTGTCATCTTGAGGATGTGTAAACTACTGAGTGTACAAATCTATCCAAGAAGTCAATGTCGCAAGCATTTATTGAACTATATATATGATGTCACTTATAATTATAATTGCTTCAATAATCCTAAATAAAAATTCGGTTATAGAAAGAACTATTTCGGTTAGTAGACCTATAGGGTTATAGTACACATTACAATCAATTTTAGATTGAGCCAAATAAAAATATCAATTTAAAACTAAGAAGAATAAAACTTACCTGTTTGTCAATTTGTACAACTAATTCACAAAAGTACCATGTTCAATAGCTAACAGTTGAAATTTCTTGCTTAAAGCTACTTCAATCAGTTTTAACACTGAATTTCGAAAGTCACTAGTGTTAAATTCGAACTCCCTAACTTTGACTCCATGGTTGGTTGATTTTTCCGTTAATGATGTGTTAGATGTACTTAATCAAGTTAACTGTACCTGATCAACTTGGTAAATATCAGTCCTAAATAAATATTTCAATAAAGCTTAACTACGCTGTGGATACGATGATAAATATATCAATACCTCTAAGGTTATGGCGGATACATGAAAACAAAATGCTTTTTCACCCAGTCAGTCATGAGCAGTGTAGAGCCAGACACATTTGTGCATCGATTTAAGTTGCCAGATCATATTAGGGTTACTTGACTATGTCTACTACTCCTCGTGGAAGAGCATAGGTCGCCCACCAGCGTTCTCCATTGAACTCTGCCCTGGGCAATCCTTTACAGTTGCTATTCATCCTTTCAATGTATACTTCCGATTCCCGACACAGTGTGTTCTTTAGTCCTCCTCTATCCCATTTCCTTTCAGGACCCCAAGTTAGGGCTTGCTTCGTGATGCAGTTTAGTGATTTACTCAATGTATGTCCTATCCACTTCCAGTGACTTTTCCTAATTTCCTCCTCAACTGGAAGCTGGTTTGTTCTCTTCCATAGTAGGCTATTACTGACGGTATCCGTCCAAAGGACATTCAGTATCTTACGTAGACAATTGCTAATAAATACTTGTATCTTTTTGATGATGGTTGTGGTAGTTCTCCAAGTTTCAGCTCCATACAGTAGAAATGTCTCAACGTTCGTATTGGAGATTCTCACTTTGATGTTGGTTGACATTTGTTTCGAGTTCTACATGTTCTTCAACCATAGGAATGCTGTCTTTGCTTTGCCAATCCTCACCTTTACATCTGCATCAGATCCTCCAAGTTCATCGACGATGCTTCTCAGATACGCGAATGTTTCCACCTGTTCCAGAGTCTCGCCATCAAGTGTGAATGCTTTGATGTTATCTGTATTGTATTTGACGATCTTGCTTTTCCTCTTGTGTATGTTGAGGCCTACCAATGCATAGGCTGCTGCTACATTAGTTGTCTATGTCTGTATTTGTTGGTGTGTATGAGATAGAAGGGCTAGGTCATTTACGAATTCCGAATCGTCTAACTGCATCTAACCTGTCCACTGTATTTCGTGCTTTTTCTCAAATGTAAAGGTATCCATAATCCAGTCAACCACCGGAAAGACAGAGGGAGAGTCGGTAGCCTTGTCTGACTCTGGTTCTTACTTGGAATGCGTCTATCAGCTATCCTCCATGCACGATTTTGCAGTTCAATCCATCATAAGAATTCCGTATGATGTGGGCTATCTCCTCAAGCACGCCGTAATGTCGAAGAAGCCTCCATAGTGTTACCCTGTCCATGTTATCAAATGCTTTTTGAAAATCAATGAAGTCGATTTAGAGTGGTGAATTCCATGTATAATGACGAGTTTCATTAAACTGATCGTTCGAAGATGGTCTGTGGTGTCGCGATTCGGTCTGTGCACGACCGATTCTTACGGAATTCGGCCTGTTGATTTCGAAGTTGAGTGTATATTTTATAAGATATTTTCACTTTGATTTTCACATTGAATGCAAAGTACATCCTAGTTCTAGTATTATAAACCAGTCGTTCATGCTTACTGATTTCTGATTAGCTGAATGAATAAAAATTTTCCAAGATCATTTGAGGGATCGTTTAATTTCAGTTGTATATTCTACTATCACCATTATTTTATCCTTCTTCAGGACTAATCGGTGCTGCATCACAGAGTGAAGAAGGCTACTAATGTTTTGGAGATATTGTCAATGTTATACAGTTGAAGAGTTTCTAGTTAAGACGAAATAACACTTCTTCAGTTTTGGTTTTGTCTAGCTTTCAAGACTACAAAAGAAAAGGATACAATATGACTCCTGTATTGTCGTTATATTTTCGTAAAAATACTTCACCATTCGAATACGTATGTTGTATAAAATCAAGTTGTATTTCAATCGACTCATGTTTTACTTCATCTGAGTTGATATGCATTGATTTGTCTTCATTAACTAATAACGAGTCGTCATTATTATTATCATTGTCAATATGTTGTACATGATTCACTGCAGTCCATCCTTGTTCGATATACTTACGATTAGATAACTGATAAACAATTCTATCTGTTTAAATAAGAAGGATATCAACAAAAAGAATATTGAATTAAGTTTTGATCAAAAAGTGAGACTTTATATTAAATGATCTTGATGTAATAATTCATTATTGAAAAAAATGTTAGAGACAAACATTAGGTAATCGGTAGTAGTCGGATGGTAGCTTTAGACTTTGGTTTCATGCTAGTTGGTGGTCATCATCAAGGTGTGCTTGGAATATAAACAAATAACTACAATTATGTAAACTGATTAACCAAGTACTTGTTTATGAACTCATATTGCATCCACACGGTTTGTATGTAAAGACTAGTGATACCATCCAGAATATTAAACTGAAACCAATGGGTTGAAACCTTCGGTCGGCAAGTTCAAAGCTGAATACTTAACTGATAAGCAACTAGTTCAGTTAGAACCTATTTACTTGGATGCTAATTTACAATTGTTAAGAAACGCTAAAACAATTACTGTTCAGAATCATTTAAGCAAACTTTATTTTTGATTGGTTTTATCAAGAACTGATATAATTTGGGATAATATATCTAGAATAAGGGAGCATTGGACAGGTATATCGTTCTATGAGACTCATGATCAGTACGAACTGACAACCGTATCAGGCATCAAACTCAGAAGCATCTAGCCTAGTAGCGAGCTCCGAGGCTTCAGATCATGGTTATCTCGTGATCGAGAGGGACAGGTATCCAATGTCGTAAACTGTGCACTACTGGGGGCTTGCATACTAAAAACAAAGTTTTATAGTAATCCCTTCGTTTCAGATTTTAATTTGTGACAAAAGCCACTTACAAATCAAATAAATATTGGGAATGTTTCAACAAACGTTTTTTGTTATTACAAAATCTATCAGAGTTTCTGCATTAAACTCTAACTAAAATCGTGGATCTCAACCAGTGACTTATATGATACGTATTATTGCTTTATATAAACTGTCAGTCACCCAAATTTGTAAAGTTTTCAATGTACATTTTACTCATTGAAAGTTAGGTTGTATGTAGCTAGTAAAATTTAGATATGTCGGCAGTGAAACAGTTGTTATGGGGAGTGTCACTTATTAAGTGGTAATATTTTTAAGGATATCGATGTAAAATATTTACCAGATGTTTACAGTATCTAAAAACGTGACTGATTTTTGACTGTAAACATTTTAATTCCTGGTGAGGATTACTTCAAGAGTGTTGATCCATGACCCCATTTACTAATTTCAAGAGGTAATATCTGGAGTTTCGGTGGGTGGAGTTCAGCAATGTTGAGTGTCAAGTAGTTATCCAGAAAAGGCACTGGAAGACAGCTATAAAATGTCACGAATTTATCCAAGTTGGAAGTGTGAATAAATTTTTGCGACTCAGCCGTCTTAAGGTTAGGCCCTTGTGATAGCACCTGAAAATAATGGTTTTGATCTCCCATGTGGTCATGAATGCACACTGTCGAAGAATCTCGTATTGAAGTGAGACAACCGCCTAACACCTGGATTTCAATGGCCGCCTAATGAACATCAGTTCACAATGTAAGCTATTAGATTCAATAATGTTCACAAATCCCCAATATTAATAAAAAGGATGATAATCAGAGTAATCATAGTAATTGTACATGGTTCGGCAATTTCTTATTCAAAATGAATAAAATTATGTTCATATTAGTTATAATTCTATATTTGTCAAATCTTAATAACTGTATTAGTATATAATAAATTTGTTCAAGAATATGAATAATGAAATTCAAGAGTTTTTTCATCACAAACTGATGTGACATTAGTGACTAATGATTAACGAATCCGGAACACGACACCATTATTGCTGAAAGTAGAAGATAATTTTTGAATGCCTACATTGTTTCAGGAAAGGAACTTTAAAAATGAATCTTCTATAATCTATCCTTCTAATTTTGTTTTTATTCAAAGGGTGAAGTTTATGACTAATCATAAATCGGTTAAAAATCGAAGTTGTAAGATCTCAGTCTGTAGAATGTAACATTTCTAAGAGCTTATTCAAAAACCTTTCAGTTTCTAGTTCAATTGGAAGTTATTTTGAAGACACTTCAGTATAGTACAACAAGGATGTAAGTAATTTAAACCCATTTTGTAATTATGATTTTCAAATGTCACAGGTTTTAAGCAGCTGACGAGTATCAAACGAAATAAAATGAACTCATACTATTCTGCTAGAACCTTTGTTCTTGCTGATTTACAAAACATCCAGATGTCGCGAGAATCTCGATACTATCTAACCACTGAAGTAAAGTCCAATTTATGGTAAGTTGGGTCATTGTAAAGCATCCTTGGTAACACATCCATATTATTTATCAATTTGATAAAATTTAAATACTATAATTCACCTTTAACGATCAAGAAAATCTGCAGTAAAGCAAATTCTCAGTTCATTATGCCATATGGCATTTTGATTTAGTAATGCGAAAATCCCTATTCAGATATGTACACAAAGAAAAGACGGTTTCATTGATTGCTGATCATAATAACAGTTGATATTACGCCTAATAATTTCTTTTACTAATATTCAAACCATTCTACTTATTAAAAATCATTATTGATATAATTCGGAATTTATAAATCTACGAAATAGAACAAGGAGTTAAATATCAGAGAACATCTAGATTGTACGATAATTATGATACAGTGGGCAAGTTAGATATTAGTCGGAAGTTACGTGCACGCAATTGGCCAAGATATGGCTTTCTATTCTAAGGAATGAGACACTCCACTGGAGGAAAAACGGGGAGTCGGTTAGCCAATAAAAACTTCTTTCTCACACTCTCAGTTTTCACACTTAAATAAATGGTTGAACTCACGAACAGGAAGTTTGTTTATCAATATTAGGTAGGACATTGCTCAATACAACAAACTACTTTAATACTATGACGGATATTATAGAAGTATTCAAGAGAATTTATCATATAATATCACTGTATACTATGGAGATTTATAATGATCATAGTAGAAGGATATTGTTAGCTTGAGGCAAATAAGTGGGGGAAGGCGGAGAAGTATTATGTGAGTTTTTACCGCGTACTTAATATTACTCTTATTGTAAACATTCATTTATTAACTGCCGCCACTTTTTTTCTCAAGAATTCTTTTAATTATCATCAATTGATTCTGAACTTGTGATTCAGATTACATTCAGTGAATATACTAGTTGGTTATTTACTGTAATTTCTTATCTGTGATGTGTTATAATCAGATAATAGGTATACAATAAGCCAGTAAGTTTTTGATTCAACATGACCATAATTATAATATAAGAAAATAAATTAGTTCTGTTTGCTACTTTTGTTTTCTAAATGGCTACTGTAAATAACAATTCTCGGTGAAATTAAGAGTTATGATAGAGGTCTTTGTTTAGCCACTCGTATTTTGGTTGAAAAGGGGATCATTAGTCAGACAAAGTGAGGATGCTATTAGCAGATCCTAATATCAAGTGACCCGATCGAACGGGCAACAGAAGAAAGTTTGAACTTACAATTAGTACAGATTGACGATTGTATTCGACAAAATGAATCAGTAGTTGATTAACGTTCAAATGAACCGGTAACAGGTATGAGTGTAACATGAACAACCCTATGTTGAAATTTATCATGTGCTCACTGGTGAATAGCTTCGAGAGTAGATTTCCGAAGTTCTAGTGGGAATCTGTGATCAGAGGAGCTAGATCGTGTCAGGTATGAGGCAGTTATCCGCCGAAGACAATGAAGGATGGTCGCACAATGTCATGGATTGGTTGGACTTGAAGTTGTACACTGTTGGATGCTAGCTCAATGGTTTATAGGTTTGGCGTTCTCGAGGGATCGAAGGTCCTGGGTTCGGTTCTCATATGCGGGGTTGTGAATGCTCACTGCCGAGGAGTCCCATATTGGAACAAAACGGCGTTCTAGTGCTTCTAGGTTTCCAATGGTTGTCTAACTTTAGTCGACCCATGAGTTTAAAGATATTCAATGAATTTATAGTAGTATACAAAATATACCATTCGGTGAATATTGTTTACGTAATGGTCATATTTTTCATTTGTTAATGTTAACAACTGCAATTGATCAGACTCTGTTGATAACACATGCATCGTAGGTGGATTACCTTGATATTTTCATTTAGTCACACATCCCTAAGTAAGAATAAATGGACGTTTTGAATTTCACTGTTAGACACAGTCAAACTTAACTGAAATTCACGTTCTTGTTTTGCCTAAATTTATGAAAGGGAGGTAAGTGAATTATAAAAAAAGACATTTTTTAATTATTCAGAGTACCTTTCTCTGAGATATAATAAAACTTGAAACTTCTATCTGAATATTTCATATTCAAACTAGCAACCATTTCAAACTTGGAATAATGTACAGTGTCGTTAAATTAAATGATTAATATTCTAAAAGAAAATTCAATCTTATATCATATATCAAAATGGATATAAGCTTGCGGTTGAATCCAGGAAGTCTGTTTCTTCCCATTCAGGACTGCTTATCAACTAGATGTGACTGCATCCATGTAATGATTTTCACTCCAAGTCTCGAATCCAGTACATCTTGCTTCAAATGTCCAATGAGTGATCTATTGAGCTGCTGAGTTCAAATACGCACCAGCATGTGCAATGAGAATTAATTTTTTATTATTCATGTTATCAGTTATTGAAACTATTTGTTGTAATTGTGAACTGTTTCATTTCACATGATATTGTAGATTATTATGTGAAACTCTTTAAAATAAAAGATCATATCCAGTTAATCATTTACTTTCTATCTGATTATGTATTGATTACTTTCAATAAAATTAATATTTTTTTGTATCCATCAATTCTGTAAGTAATAAGAAATGATGGTATCTATACCACAAGTGTATCATTTTAACAGAGTGATGTTATTCGACAAACTAAATGCTTCATTTGTAGCATCTATGACTAAGAAACTGAGTAGTATATATCTAATTGCTGGAGGATCCATCAGTTCCCTCAATGTTGCAAACATCTCTCGTTGGTAAATGGTAATTAGCACAAAACCTAGATTGTCTATGGTTTCCCTGTCATTGAATACAACCATTGAATATTGATCTAATCCGTTAAGTACAACAAAACAATAACTATGATAGCAGCGAATTCAAAATAAAATATTCACCAGTCAGTCTACGAAAAGCCGAAAAAAAACACCCGTTGACAGTTTAGTACTTTTATATAAGCATGGAAAGCGCTAAGAATTGGAGAATAAAATAAATGACTTACATTAAATGAATAATAGACATATAAAACCAAACAAGTATTCATAAACTAACCAGTTGTACATTCGGTCTCTTCATTATCGTCATTATTTATATTTCCAGTAGTATCAGCTAATGACCTAATACAATGTAAAATAGGAATTGATTATTATGTGAACATATATGTTCATATGTGTAAAGTAATATTTAGTACAATAACTAATATACATAATTAACCATAAATCAATTCAAGTTGGTAATGTGATTGATTAAATTTGGAATAAAACAACGTAAAAAATGTTATAATCTCAGGATGATGCAATGTATATTGGAAAGTTTGATTGTATATAGAATCATATGTGAAAAATACTATTCAATTCAAAGTAATAAATGTAAAACAGTTTGTTCATTATATGTTTGCTTTTGAATGATCTTTCTCTTATCAACTTTTATTTATTATTTAAGATAAACTATTTTCAGATATTACAAATCTCGAAGAAAAACAACAACTTACAGTTCTAAATTATCAGTATACAGTTGTGAAAATTATTGATTTTAAGTTAATATCATAAATGGATAAATGTTAGACAACCATTAAAAACGTGGAAGCACTGGATATCTGTTTCGTCCTAGTACAAGACTCCTCAGCAATGAGCATCCACGGTCTCATGTGAAAACGCTTAAATCAGTTAATTAAGAAAATTATCTTCATAGATATGAAATGATAAAATCACATGTGATCTAATAAATATTAATAAATGACATTTTCTAATGAAAATATTAACATAATAAATCATTAAAAATTAGTAAATGAATTGAAAAGCTAATTGAAATGAAATCATTTATGATTCATTGTAAGTTCTTAAACAACAATAGAACAAAACAAACAAACAAACAAACATGAAATATAATGATTCAAGAATTTTCTATCTAATAATTATGTATCAAGATATTTATGATGAAATTAAGAACAATTTTAAATAACTTCATTTCAAAGAGGGTGTTCAATAATACAGATTCAAAGTTGAACTATTTCCAAAAGTATAATGTTGTTATATTATCAAATATTTATGAATATATACACATATACATCTGTAGTGAACAAGAACACTGGTGGGGACAATCGAATGTATTTAGCACAACAATTACAGTCTAACTCAACAAAATCTGAATACCATATAGTAAATCGTCAATTTGCAAAATATTCATGCATCAAACCAAACTGGACTGTTTCTGTTGCAAACACCAATCCATTGTCTCCCATTCCATTGTTCATGCATTTTCTTACAAATCCCAATGTGTTCTCGCTCTTCCTTTCTTGATCTTCCCTATCTTCTGCTGCCAGACATTACGTTCTTTTAACGCACGTTAATACTACTTATATCAATATAAGTAGCTCACACCACACATCTTTTTAGGAATATAAATGATATTAATCAGTCAGTCAATCATTAAGTCTATTATATACATTGTAGAACTTGGAATATTTGTGTATCGGTTCAAGTTTCCACATCACATTGGTATAGTGTGATAAAACTATCAAGACATATTCCACAGGTATAGAATTACAGTGTCACTAGTAGATATAAATAATATTTTCAGAAGGGGTTTTGTGGAGATTTTAGAAATTTCACTGATTAAAATCATGAGTCAATTGAAGCTAGACCACTATGGAAAACCTAGAAGCACTGGACGGTCGTTTCGTCCCAGTATGGAACTCCTCAGTAGTGCGTATCCACGATCCTGCACTATATTGATTGATACAAATTGCGTTTAATCTTGATGTATGTCAAAATGGAAATTGTTTAAAATAAATACTTTATATATATATATATATATATATATATATATATATATATATATATATATATATATATATATATATAGTAACACCTAATTTGGTAACCTATATACATCCACTACATGTTGTCCAATAAATTGTTATACATTATATTACTCACTAACGTTTGGACTAAATGATAAAATAAAGAAGCGACCAATTTATGGCACAGCCGTAGAATGATAAATAATTATATTCTGTTAATTTATAACATTTGGATAGAGTCCTTATTATGATTGTTTAATCTATTGACTCTAAAACAAACCAAGTGCATTTCAAACTAATAACCGGTGGTAATCTTAGTGTAACTTCCATTTATATCACATATAAATAGTAAACAAATACTGATTGTAATTGAATAAAATTTACTTTGATTTCTTAATTAAACAATATCACTAAATAATAATCGAATAGTTTCACAGTATTTGGGCACGGAGTTAGTATGAGACATTTCCATTGAAAAAGGTTTGGATCAGATTATCAGGTAAAACGTTGGATTTACTTCAAATTCATTCATTGAGATTTTATAAATACATTCTTCCACTTTAATGTTACACATCAATTCAATCAAATTTAAACAAAAAAGTTCTTATTTATTATTCTGCAATCGTATCAAAATATCATGAAATGTTTCTTATTTCTCTTTTTAATTTTTCGTTATATATTGTACCATTTTTCGATATCTAAGCTGTGTTATGTCCTTTGATCTGTCTACCCACTTTTAGTGCTGAGGATACTTATCTAATCCAGATTAAGACTTTGGCGCGATAGACTGACCGACCTAACCTTGAGGCTAGTACTCGTAAGTTCGAAATGGGGTAAAGAGAAGAAAACTATTCTATCACCTGATTGGCTGACAACCACGTGAATGAGAGAAGACATGACAAATGGGAACACTAATCGATCTATTCCTGATTTCCTGACTTTAGTGTAAAAAGGTACATGAATAAATAGGTGACTAACCTGACCACAACGTACAATAATTAGGAAAAGTACAATTATGTCTAAAACTAGGAATTAGTGTAGAAAATAGGATGCAAAATATTATCTTTAAATTACAATAGATTCGGAGCAGAAATGGGTATGGCAATGAATCATACATCGAACGAAAGCTTATGTTCTATAGAATAGATCAGGGACAAAAATAAATGTCAAAGTTTTACAAGCTTTGCATAAAATGAAATAAAATCTCGAAAAATAACTTTCATAGTTTGTCAGGACATTTTGTTTCTCTGTTCACATCAAACTTTATCAAATATATTTGTTGAGTAAAAAAAAACCCAATTAAATAACCATTCTAAATACTTTTCCTTGTTATAAATAAACAACTTTCATTATTTGCCAATTGAACTATTTCATAATTTATATATAAAAAGTATAAACTTGATTTATTATTATTAAGTATTAGACTGAAGAATGAATAGAACAATAAAGAAAAATTAAAACAAAATATATTTTGAATTTATAAAAGTAAAGTACAGTTTTGTCACATTTTTTAATCATTCTTAAATCATCATCAGTACAAGGTCGTAGAGATTACCAAGTTTTAATTGAGATTAGGAACCAATCAATATTAGACTATCATTTAAAAAAAAACTGGAAGCATTAAACGGTCATTTCGTCTTAGCAGTTCACACCCACAATCTCGTATATGGAATTGGAACCATAGATATTCGGTCTCATGAGGACACTTGAACTTCAGATCATTGAACTGGCATCCAATGGTGTTAATGTTTAACTTCAACCAATCCACAATATTGTATGACCATCTTGCATTACCTTTGGTGGGTAACTGACTCATCTATGAATTATTTGACTGATCATGACCAAGGGTCAAAAGTATAGTGGTTTTTTTCAGTGGAACTATATTAAACAAAAAAGCTCGAATCGTGCTAAGAGTGGCCTTGAGATTATGTCGCTTATTAGATGCAGATAGTACACAAGTCGTCAAAATCAAGAATCTGTGACTCGAAATATAGTGAAACTTTAGTGTATGTTGTGTTAGTTTTATGTAGTTTATGAGTTTCTTTTTTCAAAATATATTATGAGTTTTCTTTGTCTTGAGAGAGATTATTTTAATTACATATATTAATCTGTTCATGATAAAGCCAGTTTATATTTGAACCCTTTATCTGGTCATAACTACGTTTCCGAATGATTTCTCTGACATGTCACGAAATCAGCGTAAAACATTATATAAAAGAGTAACTTAAAAACGTCATGACACAGTAGTTTATGAATCGTGTAAGTAAAATTCTTAACCTTTTTGATCGATTTTCTACAGTACCTGCGGTGCCTACAGGACTCTAGATAGGACTCAAGGACTTCAATGATCGCAACGAGCCTAAATTTCTATGTTTGATTCAGAAGGAGACATGTATATATACCTAAGACATTTGCACCTAAATATTTGATTCTGCCAATTACAGCTTCTTCGTCATTCTTCAGTCTCCTCATTCTCATAGTTGATTGAGCAAGAACATAGTAAATGTGTGTAACACTAATAAAGACCTTCTTTAGGTATCGTTACAAACATGATATCTCTAAGATACTGAACTGGTATTCAACAGTTACAGTATTTTTAAACTCATTCAATTCAAGATAATGACATACTATATGTAAATTTAAAAGTGTAATCACAACACAGAATTCAAAATATATTCAGACATACAACACCAATCATTAATGACAGATCATCAGATAAGTGTATAGTTTATACACCAGAAAAGACAACACTGTCTATGTAACCAATAGGAGACTATTACATAAACATACCTGATTGAATGTTGACATATTTATCTATAAACTGAATATAGTAATTTAAAAATCAAACTGAACACAGTTATATGAAACAGGTAAACAAATTCATAATACAAAACACAATGGTAGGTTTTTTTCAAAGTATAAGATCTTGAAAAATGTTTTAAAAAGATTATGTATATCACAAAATTAATTCAGTTAGACAACCATTAGAAATCAGAGAGTGTTAGTCAATAAATTTCATTGTAACTTCTCAATAGTGTGCATTTACGACCATAACACTGATGGAGACTAGAAAAAGCATTCTTCACGATGATCAAGTTATGCTTTGACTATTTTGACGGAATCCAATAAGATACGTTTTTTAACTTCGGTTAATTTATCATATTTATAATCATATGGGCATAAGCGATTAACATTAGTAAGAATTCTTTAAGTTCTGTTGAGAAAAAGTGACCTGTATAGTTCAACAACATAAGGAGTGGGAGACAAAAATGATGACACAGGATGATCGTTGAGCAGTATTCCTAATTGACTGGAGTTAGATATATAGGCTATTAGATGAGGACTTAATTAGTCAAAAGTTTAATCGCTGCCTAATAGGCTTGATGGTTCGATCCTCAATTCCTGGTGGAGTCGTAAGTGTGCACTGTTGAGAAGTCCATTACTAAAACGAAACATTTATTCAATGCTCTCATGTTCTCAATGGTTCTCTAGTCGAAATCAGTTCGTGATATAAATTTACCTTCAAACTGAATAGTTTATATAAATAACTAAATAAAAATATATCATATATGTATATTAACATTTTACTTTATAAGTTACTAAACTTACTCTGAAGTTTCTTGCTGATTCTTCATGTCTATATATTTTTGGTCTTGATTTTGTATTGTTTCCTTTAACGTTTCACTCACAGGTTTGCCAGTGTATATAAAAAGAAGAGTGATTTAAAAAAAAATACAAGTGATAGCTACAATCCCAACAGTAATTGCATATTACCGATAAAATAGTTAACCTTTATGCAATATCTTACATAGCATTACATTACCTTAGTTACAAAACTGATGAATAAGGTAAATAAAATAATTAAGTGAATAGATGGACTGTGGTTAACAGTAATGTTCGCACAGGACGGACATATGCCAACTAAAATTGCCATCAGACAAATGAAATAGGATAATAAAACGAGTAAGCGAAACAACACAATGCAAATATGTTCAAATTAAAATTATGTGTATAATTTAGGAGATAAAAGGTATCAGTACGTTAGTTAATATGATTCTTTTAAAGCCATCAAACTAATTAATTTACAAGTACTAATCAGTAAAACTAACTTATATGGGCGAGCTAATCAGGTATGAGGCCCAACTCAGCCAGTCTGAAAACAATTAATGTGAATGAATGATTAATTTGAATTAGAATCAAGATGAAGATTTATAATTTATAATTACAATCATAATTTAAGGTTATGATTTAAACTTAAGATAAGGCTTTTTGGTTAGTTTATGCATACCCTAGTCATTATTCCTAAACCTTATATTTTAAATTGTAATCTTAACAAAATTCCCAAACTTTTCATCTCAATGAATAACCCTAAATTTGGATCTTAATCTTAACTTTAACCCTAAACTCTAAAGTTTAATTCTAAAGCATATTTCAATTTCTAACTTTCATTTTAAGTATCAAACACCGTTTTCGACATTAAAACTAGCCATTTACATTAGATAGACAATAATCTATTTTGATGTATATACTCTAATCAAGAAGTAATCTTCTCATCCTTTATAAGTAAGCCTTATTATATTGATATTAATCTTTCAATATGGTATGAATTTAACTAGAACTCGATAAGTATTATGAAAATAATAATTAATTAAATTATTTCAAATTCAGTAATTAGTTAAAACATAAATTATCAAGTTGTTTTAATATAGTTCATCATATTCATTTAATTAAGTAGTATAAATGAGATTCATAGAAAACCTAAGTCACATCAAATTTATCTAGACTAGTCAGTTACTAGCAAGTAATCAATAATATTATTTTGTTGTTGTTGTTGTTGCATGTTGATCAAATTATATATCAATTAAATTTATAACGTGGTCTGTACGGATACTGATTGAAGTATATAAGATGATCATTATAGGAACCGTCAATGCTTATATTACAAATGATAAATCGGTAAAGAGTCAGTTAATTGTATAAAGTTATGCAGAAAAAATGTTATTATTTGAATACATAAACAACCTACATAGTTATTCATTATGATTTAAATAAAGTTCTTAGTTTAAAACCTATAAGGAGGATTAATTTTATTATTATTTGGTAGGAGTTAATTCACAAGTATATCGTGTTATTATTGTTGTACTGGTTCCTTGCTAAACGGGGTTGAGCTGTACAGTTTGGATGTTTACGTGAAAGTCCGGATGGTGTTTGGTTCTCCTGAAAACCAATGTAAGATTACCCTGGCCCACAAGGGTATATTATATATACATTGTTGTTCTGAATAATAGTTTCTGTGACGTACAAATATTTAAATGTTCTTATGAAATTGTTGTCCAACAAAGATTGGAAGCAAATAGATGGAATTATTTAAAAAAGATTTATTCACAATTGACTGATCACTGAGTGATGATTAATATCATGTCTGTCAATTCCTCCTTAGTGTAGATCGAATCCTGTCGACCAAGTTTCTATATGTCCACTAGTCTAGGTGATTCAACAATACGTGCACTATGTTAATATAAGATAGTTGTTGTAATTAGTCAACAGGAAAACCTGAACTCAGGTTTTGTGCTATTTGGCACTCATCAGCAATGTGTACCTGACTGGAAAACTGGGTAACACGGGATCGAATCCGTTAGGGAGCACCAGTCCCCTCAAGATTACAGGTACACCTGGATGACGAGTACCAAATAGCACGAAACCCGAGTCCAGGGTTTCCTGTTGACCACCTCCAACCGCCCTCTTATCTCGAAAAAGATTTATCCGCAATCTTGTTAATACGATCCACTGAGAAATGGCTTAATTACTTAGGAAATATGTCATAAGTAAAGTTGAGATGTTATACAATTAAGAATAAAATAAAAAATGTACCGTTTGGTCGGGATGAAAAAACTCATGAAAAAGATGAGTATATGACTAGAAATGTGTAGTTGAAAGCGGGGGCAAGCAGGGCATATATATATATATAAACAAGGTTTAATTAATGTAGCTCTTATGTAGGAGAGGAGATAAGGAAAAAAATGAAATCTTAAATTCTATTATACGGTGAATTACTACGTTTATTTTTACAGCGTAATTATTAAATACTTAATTGATGGTATTTTCCTATTATCCTAATTATAAACTTTCATTTAATTGATTAATCGTTGATATGTGTTTTTCCATTCCAATATTATTGCTAATCAGTTATTCACTAGTTGTTCAGCTTCTCATGCTTTATGACTCGTTCATGCACAAATTATAATTTCTTACTTGTGATGAGTTGTGGTTGTGTAATGAACGTACAAGATGATGACTTTTTCAATCATAATAATAGAAAGTATTTCGGTTTGTTATGTTCACCTTCTGATTGGTTATTGAGGATACAAGAAAACTAATGATGAATAATACAATGTTACAACCTTTATATTTGTCATTTTTAGAAGGATAAAGAAATAAGTAAGCAACTAGTACAATGTGAAAATATGCCCAGTTATCTGTTGAAGACTTTAGAGCTGAGTTTACTTTTCAAATCACCTATATTTTCAAAAAATTATACGCATATTTATCAATAATCATCTTGAATAAATAGGATGGTTGATATTTAAAATATCGTCTCAGTCGACTGTAAATAATGTGTAACAATCCTTCCTTAATTTAATATGAAATGGATAGATATATTTTCCTCAATGTAATATCTATGTAAGATCAATATGTTTCTAATTTTGTACATTGTTAATGATTTAGTGAATACTTTACAAATATACTTTAATGACCAACTTACTTAATAATTCTGTTTCTGATCCTGAAATTTTTGTGCCAGATTCATTGATTTGATTCTCTGATGCATCTTCTGTCAGATTATTTAATTTCTGTTTATTATGATCACGTCGTTGTTGACGATAACGTTTGTATAATAATTCAGAATAACTAACTGCCAAACGAAAAAGACGATGATATCGATCGCAACAATATTCTTCATTTGATAAATGAAATGATTTTGTCAATGTAGACGACAGAATTCGGCCACAAAATTTACAATTTTTACTACCATCTGCTATTGCAATTCGTTTAGCGTATGTTTGAGCCAATGAAGATAATTTCAACTGTTCTTGATTATTTCTACAACATATATCTTTTACAACCTTTAAACAAGTGATAATCCATGCGAGAAAAAAAAGTCAAGATTATATAGTTGCAAAATTAGGAAACTTGATTAACGCAAATGAAAAGATGTCGAACTGAAGAACATGATTAATTTTAGATCAAATGAAGTAATTTCTTCAATGTTGATTGGTTACCACGACCCTTAACATACTTGCTTCGCCTTGAAACCAATGTTCTGATTGGATGAATATGTAATAGACATATGTCTGTTTTTCATATTTATGTTTTCAACCTTATTGGGTTGCAAATTTTTGACGTATATCTTGTACAATAAGATATAGGAGTTGTCTAGAGAATTTTTTAAAAAGTCTTCTTTAATTAGTTCATGTTACTCTCACCATGTCATCAGTGTTTTTAGTGCTGTCAAAGTTCCATTTAAAAAAACCGCGGATAAGATGGACTTACTTGAGTGTACGCTTAGTTAATACAATACTTGAATAAACATTTGAAATAAACCTCAAAAATATAAGTGAACACTATCTGTAGTGAAATGTTTGCACCATGTTTCTAGAAAAATATCCATTCAAATGTCAATTACTGAGGTTCTGTTTGGTTAGTAACAACGACAGTATCTATGAGTATTCTTTTTGGAAAACGTAGTGCCTCATTTAAAAAAGAAGAAAAAGACTACCTATGACAGTAAGGATTTTTCAAAAAAATAGATTGTTAGAATATTGTGAACAATTGAGATGCTAGGTGGTTGGGAGGGAACTCTAGACGTATGTGTTGTGCTAGTTGGGACTTTTATCCAGACTGAGTACCTGCATAGTTATGAAGGAAATTCTGTGGAAAAATGATTTTGTCTTAATATTATTTCCGTTGAATTTCTATTAAGGAAAGGTTATTTACAGACGTGTTCTATCATACTAAGAATATCTTGACAACTTGAATGTGATCTCTACATGTTCACTGGCACGGGTTTTTGACGTCATTATTCACATAACTTAGCCGTTGGATTATATAACATGAAATTGGTGGGAGTAGGGCATTTGTACTCATTTGCTATCTACCTCTTGAGTCAATTATCATTTCTGAATTTTCAGTAATCGATCATATTTGTTTTTGTTGTGTTTAGATCTTAATTGGTCTCGATATAATTCTTCCAAATCTATAGTATTCATTTTGTTAGTTTGATTTGAGTTATGTCAACTTGAACCGATGCACACTTGTGCCGGGTGTTAGGCTGATAGAAACTGATGCGAATTAGTATTAATGATGAATGAAAATGGAGAAAAAACAATTATTTTTTCAATACAAACAATATTGGTTATCCATATCTATAATTTAAATCTATAAAATAAATTTAATTCAGTGATTAAGTACATTATGCACTCAGTCTTGAGGTGCACTATTTTGTATGAACACTAAAAAAACCGTTATTTGACTGTACAATCTGTCAGTTATAAGCAATGTAGAATCCGTCACACGTATTCAAGTCGTCACACTACATCAGCAAGAGTTGAAATTATCAAGACGAATTCCACAACAGTAGAAAAGTGGTGTGTGCTAGTTATGTCGATAGACATAAGTAGTATGTATCATCATTCGAAAGGTTAAGGAGATCAAAGAAAAAAGAACGAGAACAGAGAATGACTGGTGTGGAAATAGAGGGACAATAAAGTTTGAGACGACTGGTTGACATTTTGCAAATGAAGTATTTACTGTACGGTTTTCAAATTTTACTAAGATGTTCTGCAATTTTGTATTAAAATACATTCGATCGTCCCCACTTGTGTCGTCGTTCACTACAGTAGTAACAGTATCAGTAGAAATGGACTAGATTTGACATAAACAATATGATCCGAGAAAGAGAATTAATCCGTGAAACAAAAGTATAAACATTTCAACACAGAGACTGAATGTATTTGTGTCTTTACAGTCGACTATGAGCAGTCGTCAAATGTCCCCAACTGTCGGTTACGGTAGTCGCGCGCACCCCATTTAGGTAATCTGTATCCATCTACACAACACACCCCAACAACCAATGATTCCATGGACTGATGTCAAGTTTCGGCTTGACTGTCCAAATCAAATTTGTTCAGGTCGGATCGGAACCTGTAATTCATTGATTGAATGTTAAGTTCAAATTAATCAGTAGGACCAGTGCTCTACATTCCAACATACATATTACAAGATAATGTTGTAACGTATAATATATTGGATAAAATCGTGGTTTAATTGGAATGGCCTAACTAAAGATTTGGTTACATAATAAATACTTAAACACCTAAAGAATTATCTACTCAAAGAAGGAGCAACAAATTAAAGCCATCACTGTAATAAATAAAATATTCAATCGAATATTATGTACTTATCAGTTAGTACGAATGATTAAATCAAGAAGTGGATCTAAATCATGAAGTAACTGATGATTTTCCCATTTTGGTTATAATAACAAATGACTAGGCCTAGCACATTCTCTTTCTCATCTGACTAGGTCAGGACAACTTAAAGGATTCAACAGCTGAGGCCGAAAGCAAAGAATAAATTTCATGTTTGTCTAATTAAGTTTGGCCTATCAAATAATCTTGCCTTGAAATCTACTCCTGAAGGAATTGATATTTGCTCTATTGACCAAATCATTCGGGAGAATACTGGATATATATGAAAGCATATTATAAAGCGACTATCACTGGTCACTGGACTTCTGTCTTTAAAGTGATGGTCGTGAATTGTTTTGAGTTAGACATGAACACCGTTGGATGGTCTAGAGGTTAAGCGTTCACGCGTGAAACCGATAGGTCCTGGGTTCGAATTTCGCGGGCGGGATCGTAGATGCACGCTGCTTAGGACGAAACGACCGTCTAGTGTTTCCATGTTTTCCATGGTGGTCTAGCTTTAATTGACTCACGAATTCAACTATTAAACTACTAGAATCTAAAATGTCATTCAACTTTTTTGATGTCTGACTAATGAAATTCCGAGATAAAATAACATTACTAGTTCATTAACTTACTTGTAATATATAAGGAAAATTGAAATTATTGTTTACATTTTGTTCATTTTTTACACTTTTGAAATTATCAACTTTATCCAAACTATTAGGAATATTAACATAAGCATAATTAATCCAATTAGATATTGGTTTATTTATCCATTCACGATTTGTATATTCTTCCTTAGTAGGATACTAAGTGTAAAAGAGAATTTTGAAAAAAAATCAATTAATTAAAGCATAACAAATCTGTGAAAAGAAAAAATATGGTGTAGCATGATATAAGGACAAGGATATGGTGAAAAACACTCCGAGATTGTGTAAATGAATGTTTGGTGAGACCTTTGAGTGATGCTAAAGTGACTTTGAGTGTGTCTACCTACTTACTAGAGCTAAATGAGGGTTATAAATCAGTTTGAAGAATAAGGATTATGATTTAATATTGTTGGTTAGAATTAGGAATTAGATTTAGGGTTTTCATCACGAACTTATATCAGCTATAATGCCAGGATTCTATTTAGCCAAATGAGTGAATGAAATTCGCGCCAAAATCTAAGACCTATTATCGTAAATCTGATTGATTCGTTCATAAATTATAATCTCGCCATTATTAAGAAGAACTTTATTTGTTATAACAGAATAAACGTATAACATGTACAGATTTTACATTATATATGAATGGATCAGTTTCTATTTTTATTCACCCTGTTTTTAATAAACTAACGAATAATAAATAGATAATCATTTTTACGCATCAATTTTTCATATCAACTTGATGACAATGATGGTTATCTTATAAGTTCATGACCATAACTTATTAAAAGACTTATTTATTAAGATTCTGTAAATGATGATACTGTTATGACTTGAAGTTGTGGTCGATTTTTACCCTGTGCTAATTGTTGTGTCCTTGACTGAAAAAACCAGAGAACAGCGTATTTACCGATCGATTCAATGACACGTAAACACGTACGAACGTAATGGACGACCTAGTGTCCTGATTGGCCCTGCTCTCCTGTCTACCCCAGCCAGTTGAGTCCAGAACGAAAGTCACAGCCTCTGAGATATGAATCATTGTATTTCAGACATACTCTATTTATATACTAACCAAACATACCACATCGTACCATAAAAATAGAAAACAACATTTTGTACAATATTCAACAAGTGGACAGATATTGACCAGTAGGAAATGTCCATTTAAAGTCCAAGGACACCATTGGACTTAACATGATAATTATTGATCTATTCTTCCGCATCCACAACAGATACATTTTACATAAAACTATTTTTGCTTATCAGAAAGAAAACTTTAGTGTGATACATAATGACAATCAGAATAATTAGATTATTTACTTATATTTCTATAATATTAAGATTAGTTAATTGATTATCAGTCTAGTAAAACCAATAAAACTATTCAACTTCAAGATGTTTCTCTTTCATTCTAATATACTTTTGATGCATACAAACTATTCATTGTCTGAAAAGTGGTTTTAAAATCACATGACTATTTCAAGAATCATTTAATCTAATGCTTATACTACACTTTTGTCAAATGGATCTCATTAGAACAATCATGTGTTTAGTGTTGAAACAATCAACAAAAGTATAAATTATAAATCACAATCAGTCAAAGTAAATAATATTAGATTGTTTTGATAACTTTCATGTCCATTTAACCTTGATTATTCATTGGTTAATTGACATAACCAATGATTATACTACTTTGATTAGATATTTTGTGCAAAACAATAATAACTTGAATTTTCTGTCATATGTATACAATCACATGATCGTTTAATTTGTTGGCATTTCTGATGTTTGGTACTGATTTTGTTATTAAGACAATATAAATGATAACTTGAAATCAAAATAAATATACACAGGAAATAGAAAAACTGTACAAATTAAAACTGAATTCAAAGAACATCACTAACTATGTACAACTGATTCCAATTTGTAACTACTGAACTACACTTTGTTGTCTACTAATTGACTAAACGTTTACATTTCGGTTACGTATTCACTTCAAATTACTTAAAAAAAAACAGTTCTTAAATGGTTGTTAAGGATTTGTATGTATGTATGATAAATAAAACTTTGTAAACATTATGACCAAAATGAAAAGGTTAACAATAATTTAAACTTTATTCTGGGATTAACGGTAGGCCGTGAATTATAAGAAATACAAAACAAATGCCTTTAACTTAATCGTACATGTCATAAAAAGAAAATCAATTCTATGTTGCTATCGTCCTTTAAGAGTGTGATGTGTGCTACTGATCTTGACAGATATAGGTAGTATGTATCATCAATCGAAAGTGAAATGCCTGGCAGTAGATTAAAGAAAAGGGAACGAGAACAAAGAATGGTTAATGTGGAATCGAAAGAACAATGAAGTCTGAGACGATTGACTGACATTTGTCGAAGGAGCAGTCAAGTTTGAGGCAATTGATTGACATTTTGCAAATGAAGTATTTACTGTGTGATTCTCAGATTTCACCAAGATGTTCTTTAGTTTTGCATTACAATAAATTCGATCGTCCCCATACGTGTTCTCGTTTACTACAAGAGTACTAATTGGGCAATATTTTCTATGAAGAACAATAGACAGATATAAATAAGATGCTAATTAGTTGACATTTTTAATCTACACGATAATCTTGTGTATCAGGAAATTTTTAGCTTATTTATAGATGTCTTCACACAGTGCTACTGACAAGGGATTAAACCAGAAATAGAGATTTATTTGTCATTCTTATGTCAAGGAAAGACTAGAAATCAGATAGTCGATAAAATCTAAGAATCAGTATGGGGGTTGTGGAGATTGTTAAGTTTTTTGATGTTAGACCACCGTTGGAAACCTGGAAGCACTGGACGGCCGTTTCGTCCTAGTATGGGACTCCTCAGCAGTGCGCATTCATGACCCCGCTCCCTGCGAGATTTGAACCCAGGACCTATCGGTCTCTAAGAAGTTAGAAATGGTACATGAGTTATATTTATTAACTATATATCTCCACTGGTATATACCATGAATTAGCTTAATTGCTAGCGTACTCTTTACTGATTCTGGAACATTATAAGCTATTATAGACTACTTTGTAAACACATGGTGAGAATCTTCATCAGTGAAAAACGGTGTACTTTTTATCCATGATATCTCTTACTAAAATCTAAATTTAGGTAGATACATCATTGTTAGAAAATTACTTATACGCAATAAATATTTGGATTGAAAAAATAGTTCTTTTCTTCATGTTAATTCATCGGTGACATAGTGTGTGTTGGCCAGAATTTGTAATCTTCAATTCCCTACTAAGACCCCCTAGTTTATCTCTATATGTATCAATAAAGAACCTACTATTGTCATAAAAGAATTTGTTTTCAAAGATCAGAAGGTCAAATAATTTTAAACTGGATTTATTGAGCGAATCAGTCATTTTCAACAGTTTACCGAATATAGATTCACCTTGCTAATATATACAAACAGGTATGAAGTAAAGGCTAAAACTTTTTGGCAACTGCTTTCAACTGTTAAGCTAAGAAATGAACGTCAATCTTTAGATACTCTTATTTGTTATGTCCATTGCTAACGAATCAAATTGCTGCTTAAACGCCCACCACATCAACCTCGTCTTATGTGTCTGTAGACTGTCCTTGTTGCGTGTGACCTGCTAGTTGAAGGACAATATCATACCATATTAGTGTGACTGAGACTCATAATTTTCTATTCATTTCGATACGATACGCAATACTGAAACAGATAAAGTGGTCACTATCGTGTAGAATATCTGTTGAACGAAACAAATCTAACAACTCCCTTGATTATTTATCGGTTTTCTTGCTGATATGTTTAATAGACTGTTGTGAACGGGGAATTAAGAAGTCCAGACAATTACGAAAGCTATTTTCTTGGGACGTTATTGTATTTCATTCAAACCCTGTAAAACACTTATATTTATTTTTGTTCCTATCTTATTCTACATAACACGAGCTTTCGTTCTATGTATCATTCACTAGCATACTCTTTTTTGTTTCGAAAATATTGTAATTTAAACATAATATTTTGCACTGTATTTTCTACCCTAATTCCCTGTTTCCGGCATAACTGTATTTTTCCAAGTTATTGTACGTCGTAGACAAGATATTCACTTATTTATTCATGTACATTTTTGTACTAATCCGATTTCAGAGAATCCAGAGCTAAGTGTTCCAACTGTCTTGCCTTCTCTCACTTGCGTACTTGCCAACCAATCAGGTTCTAGAATAGTTATCTCTCTACCCCATCTCGAACTCACGCGTGATAGACTCAAGGTTAAGCCGCTCACCCTATCGCGTCAAGGTCATAGTTTAGTCTAGACAGATCAAGGTGAAGTCATAACAAGTATCACGGGGTAAAAGCGATTAAAGATCATAACATAGACTTACTTCTTCCTTATCGGAAGACGACTCTGGTGCACTTTCCACTCCATATTCATCGTCCACATATTTAGCCGGAGCAATGAGTTCGACTGGAGTTTTGCGAAATGATACAGATTTTCCTGGAAAAAAGAATTCATCTAATGTGAATGAACATACTCATATTATCGAAATCAGTACTTTCGTTCTCTTCTCGACTTTCTGTGTATTCGTCACCCAGAATATTTATATCTTCAGTCCCTTCACTTGTAACAGCAACTACTAAATAAATTATTCACACATTTTATTACAATGCTGCTCATCTACTATCTGAGTCAACTTCAAAAGGTATATCCATATCCTCTTCTTGCGTCTGAGTGGACTGACACTTGAAAGTTCGTTCGACGCCATCATAGCACAAGATAGAGTAATATTCTGTCTCCATGATGTGTAAAGTTAAACTAATGAATATTTTTTCTTTATAACGAAGCTTAATCTGGGAATAATGAAAATGGGAGTTGTTTCAGTCATGATGGAGTTCTCGTAGCTAAATATGACAAAAAATTGCCTTTGTAAATAAGTTATTTTTGGCACTCGCATTATTACGTGATACAAATTTCAAAACGAAAATACCAACAGCAGCTGTAGCGAAAAAACGTGATAAAGTATCCACCGATCAGTAGGTCAGTGTAAAAAGTGAACGATAGAACGTGGAAAACGTTTGAGTGATCGTATATAAAAATATCAACTGTAAAAAGAATGGTAACACAAAATACTAGACTTCCAACTAAGTATACAAACCAATCCACATAATACCACCATAACATAGAAGGTGCTTAAACATCCGATATTCTTAAATTTAATGTGAACCATGTATTAATGTATGTATATCATAAGATTGAAAACTTGGTCACAAGAGTGATGATAACATAAACAATGTGAAAGCCCCTGCAATTTTTAATTCAAATTAACTGCGTTTAATAGCTAGTAACGGTCAATGTTGGTTTAGAATCGATATTTGGAGCAAAATATGGTGAGATCGTACCTATTTTTAGCCCAAATTTACAGCATCTATACCGTTAAGCTTAAATTGTCCGATTTTTGGTTGAACATAATACAGGTGATTTTCTCACTACAGCATATTTTTATCGTCAATTCAATATGAAACCCGGTGGATCTTGTTGGCCACTGCAACTATTGAAAATTCCATGAGCTAAAGACTACTTAAATGGTTTGCACAAACTAAAGCAACCTTTGATGAGCAATGTTTGCATAAATCCTCAAAATTACACACACTTGAACGTTGTGTTTCTTATCACCGTCCCAGAGAAAGTGGAAGATATCGCTGACCACGTCTCGACGATGCCACCCTATGATTAATTAAAAGCATCAGTCATGATACGTACTTCGGTTCTTGGAGAGAAGCGGTTATTGAAGTTGTTAGTTGTCTTTGATTCTAACAAAGAGTAGCTATCACTTGCTTGCTCATGCGAACTGCTATTGAACTTCCTCATCCAAATCTGACATATATCTCTCAGGCGTAAAGACAAAAGTATTACGTCTAAAATCCCACTTTCTGAAATATAAAAATGAATAAATTTGGATCCTTCTGATGGTTAATGCTTTATAACACTCCCATTGATATATTTTCTAACTATCTCAAACTTTTTCGATTCTGGTGTACCCCAGAGCACCATCTTAGGCTCTCTATTTTCCCTTCTCCACGTTAATGAATTACCGCTGTTGCCTAAGTCGTCGACATTATTGTTTGCGGATGATGCAAAAATCCGGAGAACGATACGAAGTGAGACTGATTATTTGGATCTCCAAGCTGAAATAGATGAATTAGTTAGATGCGCTCGAGGTTGGGGCTTAGAAGTTGATTCTAGCAAGAGTTTGCTCATGTACATGGGACACGATAATAGTTACCATTGTACTTTTGACGGTACATCTCTTCCACGTGTTCAAGAACATAAAGACTTAGGAGTAACAAAAAGTTATGACTTGAAAACAATTACGCATTGCAACGCAGCTTCTGCCAAAGGTTATCGTGCGTTATGGTCACTTTGCCGAGCATTCAAATGCTTTGATGAGGAAATGCTTCGAATTTTATATCCTACCTATGTAAGACCACACTTAGAGTACTGTATTCAAACAGCTAGTCCATGTCTGATAAAGGATACTAACTCACTTGGGTGTGTTCAATCTGTGAGAACAGAATTAGTTAGGGATGTTTCTAAACTCCTTACTATGAGCGCTTAAAACTCTTAAACTTTTTCCTCTTGTCGTACCGTAGGACGCAAGGTGACCTTATACTGGCATTTCGTATCTTTAATTATGATTTGGGTGTCAATATGTCTTATCTGTTTTCTCCCTCCAGCACTAATAATCTTCGAGGTCATAGCAAGAAGGTTCACAAATCGCGACCTAAGAAACTTAAAGTGGGGTCCCGATTTTTCTCATCGAGTAGTCAATGACTAGAACGCCTTACCCGAACAAGTGGTATCAGCTTCATCAGTGAATATTTTCAAGGAGAAGCTAGATCTTCGCTGGAAGGCAATCCGTCGGGATTAACACTGGTTCATCAACCTACTATCCTTATTACTGAAGACTGACATAAACTTGTTTTAAAACACTGGTCTAGATACTCTAACCGTTAGATTCTGTAACAAAAATAAGTAATTATTCAAATACTTTTCGATGTATATCAAGGCGATAGCTAAAGCAAGCCAAAGAGGGAAAATAAAAACGAACACCGAGGAAATAGAAGGGAATTCACCAAAACGTTTCCTTTTTAGCCCGGCGTAAGGAAAAAATGGAGCATTCCCCTTTTTTCGTTACTCTGTATTTGTAATATTACTGCGCTGATAGCAAATAATTTGTCTTTTGCCCTAATATCTACCTAAGTAGAGAATTCGATGTAAATTCAGCTATATTCCTGACCCAGGGCAACAAAAGAGAAAAAACACAATATTTATTTACGGTGGGAGATAGGAGTGATTTCCTAGTGCGTTTTCCCTCTTACTCTTTCTCGTTTATTCAGGTAATTTCCTTCTTAGTTTTCTCTTTGATTTGTTTGAGTTATATTATCATACACCTTAAGTTGATTATCCATAGAAGAGCACGAATGTGTCTGTATGAACGAAGAATATAGATATGTGAATAATCTGGTTTCATGTTTTGTAGTCGAGAGTCTGGCTGTAAATATTTTCATAAATTTCAGATTGTCAATGTGGGCCATAATTTCATCACTATTACAGCGATGCTAAATAAATCACTAGTATAGTATGTTTTTTAATATCTTAGAACAATTCCTTTTCACAGGATAAATAGTACTAGTAATAATGGATTATATATATATATATATATATATATATATATATACTAACACCAATTTCAAAAATGTTAACATTTATTTGCCCTTGTAATCGCCGATAGTGATTCGTTGATCAAGCAAATACCTCAGGCAAACAATAAGCAGAGCAAGCCAATTCATAAGCAATCATTATCATTAGATAATGAGCAACCATCAAGAAAACAATATCCGATTTACGAAAAATTTCGATAGGAAACAGTTATTTTTTTGAAGTTCATGGATCTTCATTGGTGAGCCAATAATTTGAAGTTTTGAAGATCTTCTTGTGAGTTTGAGTCTTTTTGCACCTTGTATATTTTTTCACACATGCAAAAATTTTTTCTTTTGATTTTACCCAGACAACCCAAAAAGGGGAAATAATGGGGAAAAAAGGGGAAATAAAGGGGTAAATGCTTTGGTGGCGAAAGGGCAAATAAAGGAGGAAACGCGCCAGAATGTCGCCTTTTTCGCCTGTCCGGGGGAAATAATTCGGAATTTCCCCTTTTTCGCCTTTTTGTCGACAAATTACCCACTTATCGCCTAAAAATCCGCCGAATTGTCGCGTTTTCGCATAAATATCCGCCGAATTCTCGCGTTTTCGCATAAATATCCGCTGAATTGTCGCGTGTTTGCATAAATATCCGCCGAATTGTCGCATATCTGCCTAAATATCCGCCGAATCGTCGCATATCTGCCTAAATATCCGCCGAATTGTCGCATTTTCGCCTAAGTATCCGCCGAATTGTCGCGTTTTCGCATAAATATCCGCCGAATTTTCGCCTAAATATCCGCTGATTAGTCGCATATACGCCTAAATACACATACATACATTACTTATAAGTATTTCGTTCTTATTTGATAATATTAGTGATAGCGTATATGGAGGTAAATTTCACAGATTTTGACTATGCAAACCTATGTTCGATACCTCTACACTATATGACTAATGCTGCCTAAGCGGAAACTGTAATTCAGACCAGTTCTATTTAGTCTGTCAGGTCAGTTAAATTTCGCTGTGACCTAGCCAAATCATTCAACAGTCGGGTCTCTGAACAACAAACGGTTCACCGATTTTCTTCAATAGCATGGAGAAAAAACACACACTAATTAGTTGCACGTCTTGGACAGACCCAAGTGGCAGTAATCGTACTCTGTTTCTTATAAATATTCCTAATAATAAATTTATGTAAAGCGTTATTTGTACTATAGGGTCTTCAAAGTGGCCATATCACCCGGTTACGAAGAAAAAATGATTTGCGTCAGGCATTAACCTCAAGTTACGCCATTTTCGTCTAGCTTGAATAATCCATCCATCACATATACAGATCGAATAAACTAGCGATCTACACTGAGCAAGTGTTTGAGCTACGCAACTTAGTAAGATAATTATCTTCACTAATGTGTGTTTTCGTATGCCTTCATCGCATAAAATTGTCGATTAGTGCCATATGATATTTAGGATGTGAAGTTTTGCTATACTGCCTACAACTTGAGTACTAGTATGCTTGAACCCTCGAAGTCACAAGTTAGAAGATAGAAGACGAGTGGAAAAGAATCTTATTCCATCCAGTGTTCATATATGGTGTGTTATTATGAACGAACTCATCACAATCATGCAGTCCGCATGCGGTGGTTTCTAGCATTTGTCTAATCGGGAATCTACACGTCGAGATTCGGGAATGTTTCTCCAAGCGATTACTGGATGAAATGCCTTCGGATCTTCTAAAGCTTTTTAGAGCTTCCTTAAGTTCACCGGGAACGTACATTTGTCGCATAATCGCAATCTTGATTACTTTGTAGACCTAACCAACACAATCAATCGATAATCAGTTATCATAGTTATTTAACAAGCACCAGCAGCATTTAAATGATTCTGTGTAATGTTTGTTAAAATAATAACCACCATTAAGTATAGCCACGAAGAAACGTATATGCACATCAGACTGTGAAATATTCAGTTAATGTAAGCAATACTTACTACATCGAAGACTACATCTTCTGTAACAATTCAATGTTGCCTGTGAGCTGGCACGCCACATGCAACAGACTGTCATCTGAAAATAAACTATTATTATTACTCAACTAGAGAT